TAGTAGTTAATGTGTTAAGACCATGTTTAAACTCATTTTCATCAAGAAGACCTTGTCAATCCACTAAAACACTTTTCATTGTGATAAAAAAATTATGAATATTTAATTTTTCTTACATTGTAGTCCTTCGAACAGCAGCAATGCAAACGTTTATTATTGCCCTCGTTCTCATTTTTTATCTGCTTCAACAGCGATCGTTAAAGTCGATTGTTTAAAGTTAAAATCGAAACTAAAATGAAATTTAATTATAAATATAACTTATGTTCACCAAATCTAAACTGTAATCTATGCTATGAAACATAAGCTATGCTTTCTTAATATTATATTACAAGATATTAATAATTAACTATTAGGATTAGAAATTTACCATTCACATGATAATTTTATACCATTTTTGTGTTTCTGTTATTTTTCTAATAACAACAGTAAATAAAACAGTAAACTTTTTTAACAATATCAGATGATATTGAGCAGAAATTGTCTTGCAGTAATTTCTTCAGAACGTTGTTATCAACCTTTGACGGCCTCCCCGAACGAAATTTATCTTCAAGGCTTTATTTTCCAATTTTAAATATTGCAAACCATCTTCGTACTGTTCTAACAGTACTGTCTCAAACAGTACTATCTACATATTTCAGTATCTTTCTACAGTTTTTTAATTTTCTTTTAAACATTAACGAATTTCTGTATTTACAAGCACTTATGATACAATTATTTCTTTTATACAGATTGCTTTTTAATGATAAAATGTTTACATGCTTTGTCATTACTTCATGTATTATACGTGTATCAAAAAATATTTTGTTACATTTAGATGACCAAATAGAATTTATCTAAAAATATGAAACAAAAAAAAACTGTATTACACCTGCTTAAAAATATAAGAACGTTAAAAACAAAGAACAGTATACAAAAACGAACGCTGTTTTCAGTTACTTGTTGACAAAAATGATATAATCTAATCACATGTAACATTTTCATACGAAATGAAACAATTATTAAAAAATATGAATAATTAACTCACTTACTATTGCTGTAAAAACATGTATCAGTAATGACATAATTTTATGATTTTTTTATTCATTT